TCCTACCTGAGGACGCCACATGCAGCTAATAGCAGCCAACGGGGAGACACTCTCTGTGCCCGAGGGGCACCCCGTGCCTTCCTCTGCCGGCCACAGGATCCCCAGTGCCCCGTTTCCTTGTCTCAGCCTGGGACTGCAACAACCACCACACGGCACCCTTGGCCTGTTGGCAGCCCCGTGGGGACCCTCCTGGCAGGCGGCTGCCTCCCAAACCCCCAAGGATGACAAACTGCTTCTCCTACTGCGTTGCGCCGACTTTCTGTGCTGGGGCCTCTCTGCTCCTTGTTGGTGACTCAGCTCACGCAGGTGGGAGTTTTTCTTTTTGTCTTCAGCCCAGGAGAGGCCACTGGGCCTCACAATGGCACTGAGACCTTGCTCTTCCTGATGCCTGGGAAAGCGAGCGCCGCTGCTGCAGCTCCTGGGCAGGGAGAGGGCAGGAGGACGGCACCCTGTCCTCCTGCTGGCCCAAGCCCCCCAGCCAAGCAGGCCCTGTGTGTGCCTCCTACGCAGCGGGCATGGTGTTGCTGTGGTGGGAGCTGGCCACATGAGCAGCTGCCCCACGCTTAGCTGGCATCTCCTGCCTGCTCCCTCCTTGTGTCTGTGACCTGCACAAGCCCTTGGAGACCTTTCAACGAGCCCCAGCGGGGCCACACAAGGGCTGCCTGAGCCTTCCCTGGCGGCAACGCCAGGCTGGGTGACTGGGGAGCCCACTTCCACTCCTCCAAGGCACTTTGTAGCTACCATACTCAGAATTTGCCATGGTAAAGGCAGTTTCTCCAGTCACGCAGCTAGGGCAAGTCCATGTAGAGGCTACAAGGGGCCGTTCCTGAGGCTCCTGCCAGCTCTGTGTGGGCTGTGGGATGGGGCTGGTGTGCGGCCTCGCACAGGCTGTGGAACATCTGAGGCTTTAGACCCATTTGGGAATAACCCACTTGACGGGCCAGGTGCTGTTGCTGGAGGCCCAACACCGGCCACCACAGAAAAGCAGCAGGGCTTCCGCACCTCTCTGTTGCCAGCATTTCTCCAGGGCAGGAGGCTGGAAGCACCCCCAGCTCCTGATCTGCCTAGAAGGAGCAGGGTGACTTGCAGGTCAATCTGCAAAGCATGGGCTGAAGACATCCTCCTGCCTTCCCTCTACAGGCCTGGATTCAGCTGCTGGAGCTAAGGGGCACATGTAGTGATGGCAGTGTCTGCGCTATGAGATGGTGCTGAGGGCAGGTACAGTCCTCTTCCCTCTCCCAAGAAAGCGATGGCTGGGAAGGTTGGCAAAGGAGGAGGAATGTAGCCCTGAGTAGGGCTGGAAAAGATGGAGGGGGAGCTGCAGCGCTGGTGACTAAAAGCACCTTATCCCAGGGAAAGCCAGCAAGACTCAGTTTTCTCTCTTTGATATGCGCAGTGGGAAAACGGAGCTCGGGACTCCTTGCACTGCTTGCAAAGATATATGCATATGCACCAGTTACGCGCTCAGCGCTAGCAGCTAGTAGGAAAACTTCAGCTCAAAACCTACGAGCAAAAGCAGCCAGCTGTGGGGTTGGAAGCGTGGTGAGCTGCCAGCCTCTGATGTTCACGAGCTCTTCTCTCAAAAACGGACTCGCTAGACTGTGCTACACAGAGCACAACAAGCGTACCAGATAAGAGCAAAATAACCCCAGCAGAGGAATTGCTTTCACCAGGGCTGTGCACAAAGGCTCCAGCTGCAGTGAAACCCTCTGCAAACACAGCAAAGCCCAGGGTCTGCACCTCACAGCATGTAACATAATGTATAAATGTTATAAAAACATGCAATTTAAGATAAAAAGCAAAAATATGAGGGAGGAAGAAAGCTGACAGAAAACGAAGGAAACAGAATCCCATCCTCATATTTTTGCTTCACACTCATACTAGAAGTCAGGAGGTAAGTGCTCAGGATGGTAAAACTTACCTGAACAGAGCTAATTTAAATTTTAATCCAAGATATTTGTGTGTATGTATATATATATATAAAATAATAATAAGCTAAGTGATTGAATATATATGTAAAATAATTAATTGTTGTGATGGACCATTAGAAAATAATGTTTGCATGAGGATTTCATCCAAGCACCAAGTATCAGGAATTAGCCTAAGCATCAAGGCAAGAGGCTTTAGAGCCCTTATGCTTATTTGAATCCTACCCAGTAGATATCTGCTATTCCATTGCTAATATACATTTCCAATTTTATCCCACTTTTAGTAAACATCATGTTATCTTGTGACAGCAGATGCCTAAGTGTATGTTATGTTTAAAAACAGGGGAAAAAGTTAATTCATTTTTCTAGTTTACATATATTGTTTTATAAATGTCAGAGGATGCCTCCTTGTTCCTGATTTACTAGAAAAGATCATCAGAAAAACTCAATTTATCTTTTCTATACAATTCATTATTTTATATACTGTATCATGTCCATGCTTCCATCATTTCCACTGTCCTTTCACATAGTATTCTATTTATATCTTCCATTATTTTGTTCCTAGCCCTAGCCCTATTATTTTGTCCTAGCCTAGACCCATTTCTATGTATGCTGCTTTTCTTTGGAAATGAGTTACTGGAATTAAAGTGGAATATGCAGGAAATAATATATTACCCTTTTATATGATATCATAAAACGTGAAAGGAAAATAAGCAGAAAAACACTATGTTATTTTGACTGTCATACATCAAGCCAATGTTTATATACTGCTATCCATATTAACACAAAAAAATCCATATGCGCTTTTCTTTTCAAATGGCTTTGAGTCAGTCAAGTCAGTCAAAATAAAGCACGAATTTCAAAATAATTCTATTAAAACAAAATAAAACAAAAAACTTCCTCTTCATGACAGGGTGAGGTAGAGGAGGAAACAGTTGGGAAGCACATAAAAGCTAAACCTTCAGTCTCACTATACTGAGTATTTTCATTTACACATTTGTATTTGCTCTTGTTGCCTAATTCTTCAACCTGTAACTCCCAAGATCAGGACTATATCCTGGACTTTTATTCCTGGTCTAGGTCAGAACCTTGGGAGTCTTTGAGCTGGACCTCCCTACCATTCTCCAGTTGTCTTTGCAGAATCCACCTCACCCACCGTGCTGTGTGCCAGCCTTGCTCCTGCACCCCAAGTTCCACGTGCAGGCTCAAGGCTGCTTTTGTTGAGAGAAGCCAGGTAGTTCCTAGTGTCCAGCCCCTGAAAAACCTGCCCAGAGTTCAGGGCTGCTGCAGCTGGTATAGGCAAATCACTTTGAAGTGAATTCTATATGGCAATTTAGACTAGTCATCTATTTCATATCCTAATAACCTTTAATATGCCCCTATAAATAATGAAAAGCATGGAAGAAAGTGAATAAAGATGATATACAGCAAAACCAAGAATCTACTGCTAACTACTTACACCCACCCGAATTATGGCTAAGGGTAACTTATATTGTTAAGGTAAAGCATGTAAATGTGCTTATGTTTAGGTTCCTGAAAGAGCTCAATTTTACTGTATGCGTAAGTATTTCACTACTTCAGTATCTGTCCTAATAGAAAGCTTCTCTCCAAATCATTATTGGGAAAAATTAGCCTAAATTTTCAAATTGCACTGTTAGTTCGGATAACTATACAAGAATACCTGACTAATCTGCCCAAAATTACAAAGCCTTGAAAAATATTAATTAATAACAGAAATTCCCAAAATATCCTTAACGATAGATATGTTCCTGGGTTTCCCTATTAAACTTTACAAAGTGCACTAGGGAGAAGAAATTACTCAGCACCATGTGTGACTTATTCATAGCAATAATACTTTTCTTTTTTCGCTTTAAGCGTGGTACTAAAACCCTTTTTTTATTGTTGTTTTATTTAGTTTTGTTAACAAACAACACTGAAGGTTCAGTGTTTTCTTAGGGAATATGATTTTGCACCTTGTCCTCAGTACCTTCTCACTGAATGCTGATATCAAATACCATCTATATTAATGCATATTTCCTCTGAGATGATAGTAGTTTCTCATATGTTTAAATAATATTTTAATAAATCTTGGTAATAAATATTATAGAAAAATCTTACTGCAAAATTAGACCTTTCAAAAATAATGTGTCAATTAAAAAAAAGACTTTCCTGTTGTGGGCATAATATTCTTGCTCCTTTGTCTGAGAAGCACCAGTGTATCTTAGGTGCAACTAAAACATTTCTTACCGAAGTACAACTTCAATAGTCTAAAGAATCACTACAGAAATTGCTATTGCTACTCCTCATACTGTTGGAGATGCCTTTCTGCTTAGGTGATAGACCTACACATATTTTACAGAAACTTTTCAAAATGCAGTAAGGCAACATTTTTGTTGGAACAATGAAGAAACTACCATCCAAGAAAGGTAAGGAATAACAGCACCACTTAACCAGCATCAAAGACCTGGGTGGAAGGTAGTGTTATCTGAGTAGGTTCTCCATGTAATGAAAGCATTTGCAGCACAACCATGAGCCACTAGTAAAAGCCAGGTTAGCAGTGGGGAGGATTAAATGACAAAGCATCTTTGTTGCACTACATCACCAGAGTGTCTCAAAAGCCCTCGTTTATGCATAGGTGGGAGATCATTTAACCTTAATTTATAATGAAAATATGCAGCAAAAGTTTGAATAATTTATTGAGGTAGGTTAAAACCTGCCACCATACTCTCTTCAATCGTGGTTTTATGAACGGTCATTCTGAAAATAGGCAGAAGTGGTATTGCTGATTTCTTAACAAAAATGTAACTGCATATCCAAAAATTAAAACTGGAGGCCAAACATCAACTACTTTCACAAGAATAATTTGCTGATATATGTGCAGCATCCCACCTTATTAGTATTTACTTTAGATATCAGTTATGTATATCAGTGGGGATCATCATTATCAGTTCTTTACCAAAACAACAGAGAAAGAGTTCCTGCTTATAACACTACTTTATTGGCATCTTAACAGAAATATTTAAGAATAGGACAGCGAGTGGAAAAAATGTTCTTATATAGATGAGATCAGGCTTACACACGTTTTCAGAAAGCAAATACCATTTTGCTGTACCTAGTGAATTTTTACATTAATACAACAAAAACTCTCTGAGCTGCTCACCTCATTGCAGACATTGCTGGACTTCTCAGCCATTTTAACTCCCTCTACCAGCAGTGCAATTTCCCTTAAACTTTATTATGTGGTATTTGTCCACTACAACAGGAAAAAAATGAAGGGGAAGGGGAAGAAAAGGAGTGGGGGAAGGGAGAGGAGAGGGAAGTACTAGGATAAAACAAATGGGAAATAAATTAAAGAGTGCAGATAACTGACAGTAAAATATATGTTCTTTGGTTAGCAAGCAGAGAAAAAGGAAAGGACTTGCATACATGATAGATACACACTAGCATTCTAAAGCAGAAGACAAGAATGTCAAGAGTGTATTCTTCCCCCACTGCCAGATGGAAGGGCTATTATTATAAATGAAAGGCAGCAGTAGTGGATGCCAGGCACTTTTGTTGTGTGCCAGATTCTGAAGTCCAGATGTAAGCAGGTTACCCCTGGGACAGGACAGGCTTCAGCTCCCGCAGCAGAACGGAGCCAATCACCGTTTTCTCAGTGTTTATGATGAGCTGCGCTGTAGAGCTCTCCTTCAGCTCCACTGTGACTAGCATCAGTGACCCACTGTGCACAGTCTTAGCAGCAAACCTGGAGGGGGAAGAGAAAAAAAAAATCCTTGAGGATTGTAAGGTTAAAGACTACTAATACTTCTTTCAGCAAAAGTTAAAGGAGCTTACACATGAGAAAGTACCTCCAAATTCATTAATCCATATCAGGATGGACAATCCTGCCTCCTTTGCATCAATTCTTTGGAAAGAGAATTTGTTCAGCAAATATTTTTGTTTCTAAGGCCAAAAAGGTATAATGCAAAATTTATATTTAGTTTGAGTAAAAAAAAAAAAAATTAATCAAATTATTATTTACATGCCGATTCTTCAGTTTATGTACAATCCTGAAATTATTGCAGTGTACACTGGCAAACCGAGTTCAATTGATAGTGAACACCAAGGGTAATCTTCATTATTTGGTACCCCAAGGTGCAACTATGCCAAATGTATTAAAACACTTCCAAAAAACCAAGTTGTTATACTGTCAGAAAAGTCCATCTTCCTGCCATCTTAAAAATTAATGCAAATTTAAAGTATTCAAATTTATAAATGCCCGTCATGATAATATGAAACGGTTGTAAGGGCTCAGCAGCTTGAAGACACCAGGTCATTTTGCTTGTGAATTTATGTCCATACTATTAACCATAATTTTTATGACTAAATGCTTCTATCTCTTTTATGACTAAACGTAAGAAAGCATGTCAAAACAAACAAAAACTACCCCAAATAAGTGAAATTTAGGACTAACGCACCATTACTAAATTCCAAGACATGGAGAACCTGCTAATTACACGGAATTAAAAGCAAAACTAGCCCTTTAAGCCTCACAATTGACTGAAAGGCCATTTTAGGCACAATGAACTTCTGTCAGTCCCGTTAATTCATTCCGCCCGCGCGGCCAGGCCCCGTGGGGAGCG